CTAGATCAGCCTAGACCGGCTATATCCGCCCAGGCCGCCTAGGCGCCGCCTAACTCCCTGGCGTCAGTGTCCTCCCGCCTAGCCCCTAGGCCGATTTTTCGAACACTGCTAAAAACCTGGAACGGGCTTGCTCTGTGCCCTAGACGTTCGTAGTGACGAGTTCGAGTCCGATTCACTAGAATATTGTACAGTTATAAACTATCACGCTTTAAAGTGTTTATCGCTTGAATTTAAGAAGAAGAAAAAACACAAACCTAGCTAGCTAGGTAAATAGAGATAATCATTTTTCCCAAAAGCAGAATAATAAGCACGTCTGATGAACTGGTATTTCTCCAACAACCCATTAGGATTTAGAAGCAGAACCATCCAAAGCTGAATCTCATCTTGTGGCGGTAGCCGCCCCAAACCAAAAGAAAGGAGCAAAAACGTCTCTATATATCTCTGGTGTTGCTCTTTAAACGTCAAACATAATTCCAGCAAACAAATTACTCAATTTCTTCCTGGTTTCCCGACATTTTCCCAGCAACCAAACAAGAGAAACCACAGCAAACTCGTTATTTATTTTAACGGGTTTAGCCGGATGGCCATTTAATTTTTAAAGAGTCTAGCCGAACGGCTATACCATTTTTATATTTATTTTTAAAAGCGTATAGCCGCGCGGCTATACATTTTTTAATATTTTTTATTTTTAATACTCTTTTAATTGTTATTTTTATTTTTAAAGCGTATCGCCGTGCGGCTATACAAATTTTTTATTTATTTATTTTTAAAGCATATAGCCGCTCGGCTATACACTTTTTTATTTTTATTTTATTTTTAAAGAGTATCGTTGTCCGGCTAGACTCTTTAAATATACAATTTTGAAGATTGGACTGGGAGTGCAAGCTTCGTGTTCGTTTCTCTGTCTCTTCAATTCACTCACGCACCACATTCCTTTACGAGTATAAGTTTTAGTTGTCTCATTTAGAAGAAGAAAAAAAAAGGACATGACCCGCCCAAGTTGCCTTGAACACCACATTCATCTTTAACTATATTATGTTTTAATTATTATTTAATATAAAAAATAAAAATAAAATGTCCGCAAAATAATTTAAAATAATTAATTACTATTTATTAAGTCATTTATGAAAACAATAACATATTTAAATATTCACTAAAGAAATAATAATTAAAACATAATTATTAATTAAAGTAACTCAAAAAGGGTAAGATATTACTTAATTACATATATTAAATTAAAGAAGTTGGCCAAAAAACAAAAGTAAAGAAACTAATTTTATATTTTTAAATTTTTTTTTTAAAAAAAAAACACACCTCTCTGGATTAGACCTCTCCCAATGAAAGGTCGTTGGCATAGGTCTAAACCGGTGAAATTTGTCAGATTAGAACTCTCTTGACAAAGTCACCTCTGCCAACGAAATTTCGTCGAGGAAGGTCTAATACGACAAATTTCGCGGAGATAGACATGTGCCAAAGAGGTTTTTTTTTATTTTTTATAAATAAATGTAAACTAAGTATGTTTAGGTTAATTAATTTTTTTTCATTTTATTTTTAGTAATTAAATAATATCTTTGACTTATTTAATTAGCTAAATTGGTAATTATATTTTAATTATTATTTCTTTAATGAATAATTAGTATTAAATATTTTAATTAACTTCATGAATTATATTACTTAATAAATAGTAATTAAAAATTAATATATTTTCTTTAATAAAATATTTAAATACATTAAAAATATTATATTTATAGAGTATAGCCGCACCGCTAAACCTTTAAAATACTCAATTTATAGAGTATAGCCCTGCGGCTATATCTTTAAATATTCTATTTTGGAGTATAGCCGCGGCTATACTTTTATATATATAAAAAGGGGTTAAATGTTAAAATGGTCCCTGTGTCATAGTCACTTGGCCAATTTAGTCCCTGTGTTTTTAATTTGGCCAATTTAGTCTGTGTGTTTTACTCTGTTAGCCAATATTGTCTATTTCGTTAAATTACTATTAAAAAATTCTTTGAAATTTTTATAAGTAATAAAAAAAAATGATTCAGTTCAATTTAAGAAATAAAAAAAATCTGAATACAAATATATATATTTTAAATGATTAAGGACATAAAGCTGTTGGGTTTCCAGATTTTTTATTATGTAATTATATTTAATTTTGTTATTTGTGTTCATAATTTTTTATTTATTTGTGAACTGAACTCAATATTTTTTTTATTAATTTTTAAAGCTTTAATGAATGTTTCTAAGTTAATTTGACGGAATGGACAACATTAACCAACGGAATAGAACACAGGGATTAAATTGGTTAAATGAGTAAAACATAGGGACCATTTTTAGCATGAAAAAAGAACCGCCTAACGCCTAGGCGCTACATGTCAAAAGTAGTAAAACCGCCCGACTATACTATTTTTAAAAAAAAAAAATTAGGGGAAAACGAGTATCGCCGCGTGGCTATGCTATTTTTAAAATTAAATTTTAAAAAAACGAGTATAGCCAAACGGCTATACAATTATTAAAAAAAATTAAGGAAATACAGAGTAAAGCCGCTCGGCTATACTATTTTTTAAATAAAAATTTAAAAACCTTGTATAGCCTCGCGGCTATACGATTTTTTTAAAAAATAAATATGAACCACCATTCTATCTAACCTTTCGAAGAAAATGGATTCATCTTCATAGGAATCTTTGGATCTACCATATGAACCACCTTTGGCTATGATTGTTTCTCTTATTGTTCCTTCCTTTTGTGTAAAATTTGGATATTATAACTATTGTGCACGAATTATAATAATTTGAGAAAATTTTGATAAATCACATCAACATATCACGTGGATATGTACACAAGCAATAAAATAACTTCTCAAGTGGGTCAGCGAATTACTAGAGTATTTTCATGATCACAAGTTTATTGATTCAATTTAGCACTCCAGACGTAAATTTGTTTTGGTAAGCACTAGCGGACCCAGGAATTTTTTACCGGAGGTGCAATTTTGAGAGGCTAAAAACTCTTTGTGGATTGAACATCTAAGGCTTTTTACCTCGATTGACCTTAGGTCCCTTCATGCATTCATATCATACGTGAAAAATTGTTCTATGTAAAAATATTGACTAAGTATTAAAAATAATTTTTCGGAATAATCATTTTCTCGAGATAATTTTTGGCGGCTTTTATTCCTTACACATCAAATAAGAAATCTTGATTTTATGGGATTTTATTATGAAGTATATATTGACTTAATGAGCTATCATTTTTAGCCTAAATTGTATTTTGCACTAAAACCGATTTTTCAAATTTTAATTTGGGGGGATTTGATTTTCTAGTATTTTTATTTGAATCCAAACAGGAGGTACTTCCTTATTTACATTGTAAACTTAAGTAAATGAAGTAATATAAAAATAAATTAAAGTAAAAAGACAAAGACATTTATGTAAATAAGGTAATCTGTACACCACCAATAGTTGTGCAAAGGGGCAATTTCAAACACCTACAATGGTTTTTCTGACCAGGGGAGGTGCAGCTTGCACCTCCTTGCTCCTTAACAGGTTCGCCTCTGTTGGTAAGGCTCCATAAACATAATACTTTAAACGTATAGCTGCACGGCTGTACCATTGAAATATCTTAATCTGAATTTCTCTTTTTTAATTACTTTATTTAGTAGTTATGTTTTAATTATTATTTACTTAGTGAATAATTAATATTTAAGTATTTTATTAAAGAAAAAAATTAAAAACCAATTACTATTTATTAGGTAATATATTTATGAAGTTAATTAAAATATTTAATACTAATTATTCACAAAATAAATAAGAATTAAAACATAATTATTAAGTAAAGTAAGGCTAATATTTTATTTTTATTACTAAAAAGAAATTTTAAAATAAAAATCTACTGAACTAAAGATACTAAGTTTATACTTATTATTTAAAAAAACCTCTCCCGACGAACTTTCATCATCACAGGTCTATCCCAACACAATTTGCCAAATTAGACCTCTCCCAATGACATTTCGTCGACATAGGAAACTTTCGTCGAGAGAGGTCTAATCTGGCAAATAGTTGCTGGTAGAGACCTGTGTCGATGAAATGTCGCTGACACAAGTCTTCTTGCTCTTTATTTATTTATTTTAAAAATATAAAATTAGTTTCTTTACTTTTATTTTTTGTACAACTTCTTTAATTTAATATATATGTCATTAAGTAATATCTTAGTCTTTTAATTACTTCAATTAGTAATTTAGGAAATATGACAAAGGGCACCTAAAAAGATAAGCAACGTCATTATATCACTTCTATACACTTGCAACACACAAACAAGGCATAAATTTTCTCTCAACCCTAAGCGCACACGAAGGAACAAAGCTGGAACGTAAATACATACCATATATAATTGATTCATTAACTCAAGGCTCAGTTTTGTTATAGAGAAATCCAGATTTTTATTGTTATATTTAAAGAGTATAGCCGTGCGGCTATACTCGTAAAATAGAATATTTTAAAAGTATAGCTGCGCGGCTA